TGCGTCATTTTTCTCATTTAGTTTTGTCCTCAGGGGACACCAAACAGCTCCCAGAGGGGGAGGGGGAAACCCATGGTTATTTATTCGTTTCAGTGAAAGGCAAAGCATTGACAATGGGGGAAGGGAAGTTAACTGGGGTGAATGCTCTAGTGGGGAAAAATGGCTACCCTGATTTGACAGCATAGTTTGAGCAGCAAAGAAAACTGAGCATGATTTTGCAATTCCATCAGGGGCAGGCAATTTCAGTCCTTGCTGGACTGTTGTTTATATATGCATTTTTGAGTGGATTTTTTTTTTTTTTAATTTGAGTGGAGGGTGTTTCTGCCTGTGGATATAAAATTGTGTGTTCCAGGTTGCACACAGTACTGTTTGTGGTTTCTTTGGAAGAAGGGAAAACCTTGGGCCGGAGGTAGTGGGTGGCTGAAGTTTTGTAGGCCCATTTCCTGGGGTCAGGAGGTCAGCTGTCACTTTTGTATTTAGTTTTAAAATATTGATATTGGCGATGCAACCAGGGTGGCTGGAATCATTGGACCTCCTTTTAAGTCACATGCAAGAGCTAAGAAAAAAAATAAAAGTCATCTGGTGTATTGAAAATGACAGCTTTGTTAAGCTCCAAGGAACCTTTCCTTAAACTGTCCAGGATTTGCAACCTGTCACTGGCATTTCTTGAGAAAGAGGAAAGTGACAAGCAAATCAATATTAGGAGATACTTGAGATGTTAAACTCTTCTCTTGATGTCAGTGTGAGGCTCAGACTGGCTAACATTGCTTAACTTTCAAAAGTTTATAAAACATGCAATTGTGTTTTGAAAAACCCAGTCACCTGAAGCAGTAGCATTCCCTATGGACATCAATAAACATTCTGCCAACTAGAAAAGGCAACTTCTTTCCTTAGAAGGTGGCAGGCAGTAAAGGGATCTAGAAAGGAAATCTTTAGGAATACTGAAGCAGCAGGCTTTCCTGTTTGTGAGGAACTACTCACTTCTCCCCAGCTTTTCAGACAGGCTTTGGGGGTGCATGAAAGTTGCCTGTCACAGCAGTGCAGTCCACAAAGAAGGGAGTTTAGAAGAGGTAAGTACTGAAGTGTAAGAAGCTCAATTTGACCCATTTAACAGTATCAGTGGTTTTTCAGATATATTGCAAAACTTTTAGCTCCATATATGGCACAGATACGCTGTTTTCTTTTTTTTCTTTAAAAAAAGGAAGGTGGATTCACAGTGTGTTTTCTCTCTTTTTCCGTCTCTACTTTATCTGAGATTTAGAAGGCAGGTAATTTTGAAACCAAAGGTAGTGGGCAGGTGTTGTGCTGAGAGAAGCAGATGTTATTCCTACCTAGGTCCTCCAGTGGCTCCTGACAAAGGAAAGGGCTCTCCTAGAGTTCATCAAACCAGGCCTGTGGTGGTCTCTGCATTAACTGGACAAACAGCAGTGTTTGGGGAGTGTCAGTGATTCTGCTTGAGAAGGCCATATAATCTGAGCACTCCATAAACTCTGCCTCTGAGTCTCCCCACTCACTATGACTCCTTCCTCATCTTCTTTTTCCCCCTGGAAACAAATCAATAGCCTAAACTACCAAGCATCCTCTATGGCCAACAACCTGTAGTCAGCCAAAAACACCCAGCAAAAATGAAGCACCAGAAAGAGATTTGAACCCCCTAAGTGATGGGTCTGGGAGGCCCCAGATATCTCCACTTCTCTGGGGTCTTACCTGGGTCTGTGGCTGCCGGCTTCGCCCCCGTTGCTGCAGCAGCTTTTGTGAGCCCTTCTGTGTCGTGGTTGTCAATGTTTCATCTTTCTTTTTTAAGCTTGTGGAGAACTTTTGGATGCAATCTAGTTTTGATGGCAAAAAAGAACCGGTTTCTTTTAGAATAGAAAGAGCATCAGGGGAGGAGGGGAGCGATGTCTGCAGACACTTACCCAGGGCTCAGCACTGGGCCTCTTTTGCCAGGGGACAGAGGCTGGGTCTGGGATCTCTGGCTGAAAGGCTGGCTCTCTAGGTGCCAGGATTTCATCAGGGGTGGTGTGGTGAGGGGGAAGGAGGAGGGAGCGCGTGAGGGAGAGGAGCGAGATGGGCACTGGATTTTTTAAAGAGATCCCGAAATAATGACTTCTGTAAGAAGTCCAGGCATTCAAAGAGGTATGTGCAAGGGCTTGAGTGCATTCATGCCACGGGGAATGTCTTTTATGGTAAATTAACTCCGGTTAAATTGAATATTTGTTCAAAGGGAAACTCCAGTAGTTTAAGCTGGCATTATCAGTAGAACACCCCACCCCCACTCGTAACACACAGAATCTGGTGATGGGATGGAAAAAGCGATGTGACCTAATGTGCACACACAGTGATGCTTGGGTTTGGTTTTGTGCATGTGTGTGTGTGTTTTAACCTCAGGTGAGGTTGCCTAAACGCATCTGAGTAAGCAATGAGTATTTGGATTCACCTCGACTGTCACCTTATTTCTTTCATCTATAAAGACTGTAAACTTTACCGCAGGTTTTCAAAAAATTAAGAAAGAAAGGGCCCACACAAAGGAAATGAACGCAATCACAATCTGGGCAGGAGCATTTGCCTGGGGATGGGGTGGGTGGGGTATCAGGAGACTGCTTTCAGCGGAGTGTGCCCTCAAGGGTTAACTTGCAGGCTTTCTCAAAATTTCCCCGACTTTACCTGTCTTCCCAGACCCCTAGCTCACCCCCCGCTGGTCTCCCCAATTCTCTCCCACCCACCCCTGGCCTTTCTTCTCTGGGCTCTGGGTTTACGGGGGCTGCAGCTGGTAGACTTGGCAAGCTCGCCTCATTAAGAGCGCTCTTTGAAAACGGACTGTGTTTGAGCATTTCCCTAATGAGGACAGGACGGGGTTAAAAAGTGACCATTTCATGGTTGACTTGAACCTGCCTACTTTTCTTGATGTGTCCTTGTGAAATGCTTGATGTGGATAACTCCCACTTGGTGAAGGAAAGTCACTAGTTCCTTCAGCTCCGCTGGGGGGCCGAGGGAGGGGGGTGAAGCTGGGAAGACTGGGGGAGACCGAGAGAGAAGAAAGTAGAGGGAAAAACCGAGACGGAGGAAAACGAGGAAAGAGGATCCGGCGGAGAGCCTCTCAATCCCACCGCCGCGGAGTTGGGGGCCCAGCAGGAAGGGCCCCTTCCCGGCCCCAGCCTCTCCCTACTACCTCTCAGGGTGGACACCGAGCCCTCAGCGCTCACTTTTCCTCTCCCCATTGTCTGGATAGCCTCGGCGCCAGCTTTCCCACCCACCCGGGGCCGAAAATCGGAGTTTGAGGGGTGGGGTATGTGAGCGGGGGAGAGAGGCTGCCTGGCAGACGGCTTCTCCCCAAAGACTCGAAATCAAGTTCATTCTCTAGGGCGTGCAGCCGCGGCGGCGAGGGGGGTGGGGTGGGCGGCCCCTTGCGGCGGGGACCCGCGGGCGCCCCGACTCCGGCCCACCGCCTCGGGAAGACTGTGGTGGCACCAGCTCCCCGCGCGCGCGTCCGCCCGCCCCACAGCCCCGCCTTAATGCACCCCGGCGGGGAGGGAGCTGCTTTCCGCCGGCGCCCCGGGCCCCGGGGGGTGGGGATTGGGCGCGCGCCAGCGGGGCTGCAGGAAGAGGAGAGTGGAGCTGGGCGCGGGAGGAGTAGGAGGAAAAGGAGGAGGGAGTGGGAGGCGGCGGCGGTCGGGCCCCAACCTCCAGCTCCGAACGAGGCCACGTGCATGGGGCACCCCAAGGGAGGGCGGCAAACCGCGGCGAAGCGCAGCGCGCCGCTTCTGCGGAGCCACCCCGGGGCGCGGACCCACGGTGGGGAGACCCCGGAGGACTACCGCCCCAATCGCGACTGCGGGGCTGGGTTCTCATTCCCGTCCTTGTCCGCGCGCCCTAACTACTAGAGTTCAAGTTCGCTCGGCTGCGACCGCCGTAGCTTTCCTCTACTCCTCGCCTGAGATCTCTGCGGGCCGCACCCGACCGGGGTGCGTGTGGGCGCCCCAGCCCTGACTCGGGGCGGCCCGGGTGTGCGGGAATTTTCCACTCGTTTCTCTCTTGGGCCCAGACCGCTTCAGTGCTTCCCCCACTTGGATGTTCCCGCGGCTGAGTGTCCGCCGCGAGCCCCAAAATGCTCCGTCCAGGGCAGATTTTCGGGGGTGTCCTAGTTCGTGTGGGGTGAGGGGCTTGCCCAAAGGGCGGACAGAAGATGTAGTTTGAGAAAACAAAAAAATAAATAAAGTCATGGTTCCGCTGCACCGGTATGAGACCTTTAGCAAATGAGAGGGAGAGGGAGCGAGAGGGAGGAGGAGGAAGGTGGGGGGCGGGGGTGTGGAGAGGCTGGTGCAAAAGGAATGCGTTTGCAGGAGGAGGAGGAGTAAAGCGATGATTGTGTAATTAAATAATAAAACAATCCTTAAGTCTGATTTGGAGAGAGCTCGAGCGGGGTCCAGAGGGTGGAACCGGAGAATTTTTCAACTTCCAAGTTTTGCAACGAAAGAAAGCAAGAGAGGGAGGGGGGGGGCGGAAAGCGCCCAGATCAGAAAAGACTGGAGTTTGGAGCCGAGCGGGAGAGCGGGAGTGATCGTTTGGGATTTTTCAGGAGAGTCTTCCGATCCCCCTGGGTTCAGGGCAGCGGCGGCAGCAGCGGCAGCAGCAGACTCCTCTCTCGGCCGGGTCAGCTGCAGGCGGGCAGCGGGGCGCTGAGGAGCCGGCGCGGGCGGCGCCGCGCTGCAGCCGGGAACCGCGCGCCGCGAGCCTCTTCCGCCCAGAGTCCTGTGATCGCGCCCCCCTTTCGCCCCAGCCTCTCCCGGATCGCCCTCCCCGCCCCCACCCGGCCTCTCCCGCGCGCGCCCCCCACCCGCGCGCACTCGCTCACGCTCCCCCTCGCGCACACACATGGTCGGCTCGCGGCAAAGTTTCGCCAGCGGTCGCCACTCCGGGATCCTGCTGCAGTGCTCGGGGCTGTAACCTTGAACTTTCCCAGCGTGGTGACACATTCTCCTCGCTCTCTCTCCCGCCCTCCCTCCCGCGCCCCCCTCCCCGCCTTTTTTTAAAAAAGCATTCCGCCACCAACCACCACCCCAATCCAAACCACGCCGAACCACCGCGCACCCCCAGGCCCCCAACATTGCCACCTTCAACTGCAAAACAGAAAACCAATCCCCAAACCCAGGCGCAAAGCAGCCCACACCACCGGCGGCGGCCTCGGAGAGCACGGCGGGCGCGCTCGGAAGGCAAGAGGGTTAAAAGTGTAGATTGGATTTCACCCCGGGAAATCTAGCACGCCGAGTGAACTTGAATCTTTGGCTATTTAAGGAGGACTGGGTTTGTTGTGAACTTGCGGTGAGCCAGCGCAGAGCCCCGTCCTGATTGATCGCATCGCGGAGCGCAGATGACTGTAAAATGAATAGATGAAATTCTCGCTTCTCGAAGATTTTCTTGGGCATCTCCGGGAAAGTGCGTTGTAAGGCGAAGTCATGATGTATTCTCCCATCTGTCTCACTCAGGTACATCTCGCGGTCGCTCTCGAGCGAGCTTTCTTTCTAGCCCGAAATGTCTTTGTTTTGTTGTGTTGCTCTAGTTGTGTGGACCATTAACGGCTTTACTTAACCTTCGCACGCCTAGTCCTTTGCTGAAGTGACCGGGAGTGGCGGCGGGATTTGCGGGCAGCGTGGGAGCCGGCGCGCGGCCCCTCGCCCACGGCTACCGCGCACGCCCAGCCCCAGTGCCCTGGGCACCGAGAGCGGCGCCCGCACGCTGCCAGGGCGCCCGGGCCAGGAGAGGCAGCAGGGTTGGGTATGTCCAGGGGTCCCCCCAAGTGTGGATTCTTGGTGCGGCAGCGCCCCAACTCAGGGTGCCCGTCTTGTCTTGCGGCTGCTGGTACTCGGAGGCGGATACCCGGCTTTAGACGTGCTTTAGGGAGACTAGGTCTTAAAAACATGTAGTGAACTTTGGCGAGGGGACCCTAGCAAGAGTCCTTGTGGGCGCTGCAGGCGGTGGGCGGGCGGAGAAGCGAATAGGAATTGGCGGTTCGGGAATCCATTCCTTTGCTTAATTTGGGGATTTGGTAGCCTCATTCATACTGACCCACACCTTGGGATTTCCAATGACCCACCACAAAGGTGGTCTTTACATTGATACAAGTTAGTTAGTTAGTCATGCTGAATGTGAAGAACTCTGAGAACGTGTTCATGTTGTGGAGACCTGTTCATTAGTGATCTTTGGGCGTAGCTCGTAGGACATAAAGTAATGCTGGAAATACAATTTCTTTTAAAAAAAACTTTGAAAATTGTTCTAGAACCTTAAAATTGATGATATGAAATAAAACAATGATTTTTTTAAATACATAAAGTACACACATATGCAATTTGCATAATTTAAAAACATGGTCAAATGCAAAAGGAGGGAGACTGAATTGCCTTACCTGAGGGCAGTTTTCATTGTTGTCCAGCTAGCTGACCAACTAACTGACGAATTTAACTAAACACTTTAGCCTAGAATAGTTATTAGAAGCAGTATATTAAATCTTTAAAGGTGCAGGACAGTTTACTTTAGCTTTTAGGGGAATGTGCCACGAGTTGGTAATTGATAACCACACATTGGCAGGAAAACTAAACAGTTTTGAAGTGTCGGCTAGTCTTGGGTGTATTTGAAATAATAATAAAAGTCTAATATTAAGATGATGCATTTTTATAATGGACAAATGATTAAGATTTCAATTGTATGACAATTAGAAGCCATTGTGATTCAAAAGGACTGAGGCATTCATAAATTGTGAATGAAGATGAAAACAATGATAAGGCTTATTCAGTGATTGGATACAGTCCTGTAGCTTTTTGGCTGACACATTTTTTATTGTTTATATTTTGTTTGGCATCTGAGTATGATTGACTTAGATATGGCTATTTTCAGCAAGTAAACCACACTTTAATTTAACAAAACTGGAAAAATGAGTTGTTGAGCTATTTTATTTTAAAACTATAAATGATAACAGCGAATAAATAGGAGGAAAATGTTTCAAGTGAAAAGAATTGCATTTTTACCTTTTATATTACCTATCAATAGAATTTTTTTAAAAAATTCTGGTAAGCTACTACCAGTTAATACTATTTTTATGCTGGGATGTTATTGAAGCATTAGAACCAAATGAAGTGAGTTTATTACTTATTTTCACCTGTAAAGTATTGAATACTTGTCCTCTTCTCTATGTTAATTTTTGTCTCAAGCATTGACTTTATCAAAACATTACTAGCGATTGCATTGCACCTTCAGTTTCCTCTAAACATGTATGTTAAAGCTTCTAGCTTTATTTTAATTTGTGTAAATACAAAATAATATGGCAGCATACTGAACATGGAATATTAGGAGCACATTCAGTGTAATTGTTTACCTTTCACATTGGTAGTATTAAGGGTGCATACTTACCAATAGTAATTTATGATGACTAATATTCTCTACTATTTTAATAATGTAAATCTGGATTAATTTATTAAATCTCTGTTTGGGATTTAAGGCCTGTACTAGAGAAGGAATTTTAGTTTTAGAATGTACACTTACCTAATCTCTATGTGATTTTATAGGTACTGTAAGGTGTAGTAAAAGTGAGGAAACTAACAGTTGAAGTTTTGTATCAAAGCCTGATCTACATTAATTTATGTGTATATACATATATATATAAATATATGTATATATGTATATATATGTTTGAGGACATACAAATACAAAATAGAGTAACCTTTGTAGTTGGATAAGAACTTTAAAAAGTATCTCATGAGTTGTAATAAAGTATCTAGGTTTTAGAAAGGATGTTAATTCAATAGGAGTTACCGCTAAAGTTGATATTTAGAAAAACAGCACTGGTTCCTGACAAACACAGCAACTGTAGATCAGATACAAAAGGATAATTAATAACGAATCATGTATGATCTAATATTTTCTTTTTTCTACAAATATTATAAAACCTTAATGATGTAACTTTCAGTTGGTATAATCGGATCACATACATCCATTTTCATGGTGTCCAGTTCTTTGAGTATGTTTTTTTCCCCTCATGGTTTTTTTGTTTTACAGCAGTGTTCCAGAAACACCTAGTATGTACTCTTCCACCTCTATATTGGTCTAATTTTCCATCCTTTTCATGGAAGTCATTGTTTTCGTGAAAACAAAACAAAACTATTCCTAAAGCAATTAAAATTATTTACTTTTATATTTGAATTTTGTAACTTGGTTATTTGATCCATTATTTAGTTCAACTGAAGGGAGTTTTAAAAGGAAAATAATTGATGAAATCTAATGCATTTTCATAAGCATTCTGAAAGCTCAAGGTGGCATATTACCTAAGTAGAGAGCCATTAGATCTTGGATTTCTTAAGTGCTTTAAAATTTTTTAATGAGGATAGTTACTATGCTCATACTCACACCACTGAGAATCATCAAGAATGTATTGCTACTCGGTATTAGAAAACAATCACATTTGGGAGAGGCCATGTAGGCATGTTGTCTATGGATGTGACTTACAGCAAGCTTCTACTAAGAATCATTTTTGTGGAAATGTCCCCTTGTCAAGTACGAGTTTCACTTGAAAGGAATCCGCATTCTAGGTGAAGCCCAAGAAGACATGAATGTATCTATGTTGCGGCCTGAGAAACTTTGCTACTTTTATTTCTCAAATCAGGAAAAAAAAAAGTTATCTTTTAAAAACCTTGTTTAGCAGCATTGACAAACTTAAGGCAACCTTAATAAACATCATTTTGTGTGCATTTGCTAAGAAATACTCAATCCAACCCTCACATTTGCATTCTGATTATTAAAATCATTTATTAAAATTGTGATCTGTGGTGCATGTGCTTTGGAACTCTAGCAAATTTAGCCAAAACTATGTTTGGTGTCTTTATAAGAAAGTGGAATGTCACTGAACATGGTGCTTAAGGATTAAAGACCTTAAATGTTACCTTAGTGCTTAATATAAGTTAAAATAATAATGCCTTACAAAAAGCATGATAAGAGTTAAAATAGTGAGGCAAAGCTTATTTCCCCCCTCTATGCATGCTGTATGTTTTCAGGTTTTAAGCTTATAATATGTATTTTTCAAAGCGTACCAATAAATCATAGAGTCAGATTATAGGAAGTGCATTCTCAAAGTACATTCAAGTCTACATTTCCTTGAGCAGCCTTTCCTTTTGCGTGTATTTCTAAGGGGGATAAACAAAGTTTTTGTAGTCACAGTGAAAGCTAAAAGCATGGCATCAGAAAGAGTATGGAGATAGGAGGTCTTATCATGGGGCTGTGGTTGCTGTGAGCAGGGCCGCCTTCCCACACAAAGAACAGATTGTGGTTTAACTCTTTCCATGGCCTAGTTTAATGTGCCCGCATAGTAACCGAATTGTTCAAATCTCTGCTGGAAACTACTGATCGGTTTCATGATTTCCTCTATGGCATTTGGTTATGCCTCATGCTGTGATGTAATCATCTGTGTTCTGTATTGTGAAATTTTGATTCCTACTTATTCTGCTATAGGAAGATTTTTTACTGCGATATGTTAATACACGTTATTGATTGGGTGGGCTGCGCCCCTCATCTGTAGCTGAACTGCAAACTGCTAACCTGCAGTGAAACTTTGGATTTCATCTTCAAAAGGGACTCATAACCATGTGAATTTCTTTGGACATCTTCTTTGTTAGAGTGTCATTAGTTAGCACTTTGGTCATCTTTACCTAGTGGAATTAATCAGTCTGTTGGTGAAATCGAACCTGTTCCACATTGTTCAGGGTGAGGAGCACTAGTATGTAAATTCGAACTTGGGATAGACTCAGAGAAAGTTATTTTGTGGTTGGGGTGACAATATAGTCAGCGTAACCAGAAAAGTAGTTGTGATGGAAGTTTCCATTGGCTTCAGATCTTGTATTGTTATACACATTCACCTGCACGAACACTGTGTTTCTCTGAGGAATAACAGGCCTGGGTACCTGAGATCCTCTGTACCTAAGGCAGAAAGTAATGAAGCACTCTCCTTGTCAGGGAATAACTTGAAATATATTTAGGTAAAGATGATTTGTCACTCCTCACCACCCCCAGCCCCCACCTCTAAACAACAACAAAAAATAATCCTTGGATAAAACAGGCAGAAAAAGTACAGGCGCCTGAAGGTAAACCATGTCACTTGAAAGGCAGGTTGCGGTATGATCCACACACAAGTACCCACGGTCGGTCCTGTCTGAGGATTCACATAGGTGGCAAAGGCACTGCATGGATTCCACAAAAGCAGTAGCTGACCAGCAGTGCATCTTGGTGTCACCCTGCCACAGCAGGCAGGCACACAAAGAATGCAAAGTTGGTGCCAAGTTGCCATTTTTCATTGTTCACCTCAGATGGATTTTTAAGGGGTTTCGGATAATTGCCATCCTCATGTGATCTCGGTTAACAAATTAACTGACTCCATGGGGCTTCAGGTTCTGCACCAAAGCTGCAGGGAAGAACAGTCATGGTGCTTTTGTGTGCAACTTTATAAACTTTTATTTAAAAATGCACGAGTGTGCGTATATATGTGTCTGTGAGAGAAAGCCTCTGTGTGGTGTGTTATGGGGAGAGAATGCACTGCTCAAAGTCTGGAAACCTTCTATTCAGGACACTGAAATGGCGAGCTGTGTCCTTTGCCCACTTTCCCTCACTGTATACCGGTTTCTCTAGTTACCGCTCTTGGAATGGTGCTGTTTCAGTGTTGGAATGTTGGACGTTTGATAAGAAAATGGATCAAGTTTAATGGCGCATGCTCTTTGTGCCACCAGCAGCCTCTTGCTGAGAGCATGCTCCAAAGCGGGAACTATGTGGCATTACACTGAGCATCTATATGCTTTGTGTCTCTGTGCCCCAGAGAAGAGAAATGAACTGTGGCATCGCTCCTGCCTTCTGAACAGCTCTGCTCCGATTAAAAAAAACAAAACAAAACAAAACACCTCACTGTGTTCTTTTGTAAAATGGTACTGTTTAGTGTTAGTTGGGCAATGAAATATTTAAATAGTAAATTAGGTGTCAAGAACCTTGGTGGTGTATGATTTTAAAGAATACAGAATGCATGGCATTGGGGTGGGAGAAAGGGGGCTGGGGTGAGAGTGAAAATACAAACTAGAAGCCATACTTCTGTTTTGAGTTTCCTTTTTAGGAGTGAACACCGACCTGTAAATTTTGGTAGAAGGGGGCCAACTTGTACTTCCTTTTCTTCTTAACCTGCAGTTTTGATAATACTAAATAAGAAAGGCATGCGCTGTTTTCATGTGTAACTTTTTCTATGGAATTGGGAATGTACTGTGATCTTATTTTATGAGCATTTTCAAATGAAACTGACTATGTATGTCTGCCCCTCGCCCCCCAATCTTCCACAGGATGAATTTCACCCGTTCATTGAGGCACTTCTTCCACATGTCCGTGCAATCGCCTATACTTGGTTCAACCTGCAGGCTCGGAAACGCAAGTACTTTAAAAAGCACGAGAAGCGAATGTCAAAGGATGAAGAAAGAGCAGTCAAAGATGAGCTTCTCAGCGAAAAGCCTGAAATCAAACAGAAGTGGGCATCCAGGCTCCTGGCCAAACTGCGCAAAGATATCCGCCAGGAGTACCGAGAGGACTTTGTGCTCACCGTGACTGGCAAGAAACACCCGTGCTGTGTCTTATCCAATCCCGACCAGAAGGGTAAGATTAGGAGAATCGACTGCCTGCGACAGGCAGACAAAGTCTGGCGTCTGGATCTAGTCATGGTGATCCTGTTCAAAGGCATCCCCTTGGAAAGTACCGATGGAGAACGGCTCATGAAATCCCCACATTGCACAAACCCAGCACTTTGTGTCCAGCCACATCACATCACAGTATCAGTTAAGGAGCTTGATTTATTTTTGGCATACTACGTGCAGGAGCAAGGTAGGAGCAGAATGCTTTTGTTTTTCTAGTACGGGCATCACTGCCCACAAACCCCCATGGATGAAATATCTGGCTTGGGTTAGACGGTGCTGGAGGCCTAGAGCTCCGCCACTCCCCTCCCCCCGGGTAGCGTGGTATGCCCACTTGTACACACTGGTACCTCGCCTTGTGCCCATGTGCAAGTTGTGCAAATTGACACGTATGTTCCATGCCTTCCTTGGTCGGCTTGGATATTTAAAGAAACACCGTACACATGCGTTTCGCGTGGCTTTGAAATAGGATATACCGGACACAGAAGAGTCTAAAAAATATACTTGCTCACACTTTTCACTTTCTGTCCTGGACTCCCTTTCTTGTATCATCTTATCTTAATTTGAAACTGCATATTTATTTATGGAGAGTCAGACTGCTCTTTAACAATCTACTCATTAGACTTTTCACTAACCAGGTAAAGAAAGTGAAGTAGAATTAATACTTACTATTGCAAAATGCTCAAGATAGCCAGTTATCAAAAAGTCTATCTAATGTAGACCTACATTTTATGTAATTTTAATATTTCCATCAGCACCTACTTTTGATTGTGTAATATTCACTGTAGATTAGAAGGATTATGGTTCTTGTTTTAAATAATTTGATGTAGTATTTTCCCAGAGCGACTTGGGAACACATAATAAATATCAATAGTTTACTCGAATGCAAATTTATAAAAGTTACTGAGGGGAGAAAGTTGCAGCTTTTCCTATGGAGCAGAACAAAAACAGAAAATGGACTGGTTATACTGGTTTAAAATAAATCTCAAAAAGAATGCAGAAACCGCAGGCCATACCCATTTTTTAAAGCAAACTTGATAAAGAGAGTAATATAAATGTTTCTTGAATAAATAAAAAAATAGGCGATACTTTTACCGAGTACTTTTTGAAATATGGTGATTATTTTTGCATTTCTTAATATATTTTCCTTAAGGTGAGAATTTCCTGTCTTCAAATGAGTGTATCGGGCAACTGAAGTCTTTGTATGAGCTATCAGTCCACAGTAAAATATCATTTTAAAAAGCACCATACCAAAAATGGACTGAAGTTTGATTTGCTACAGATGGTGGGTCATTTCTTAACTTGACCTGGCATGAGGGACAATGGTGTGCAGAGACAGTCAGGTGGCAGACGGTTGGTTATCTGATGTTCCTTATATAAATGTGGGCTTTTATACATTTGGTCTGAGCATTATTCGCATCTCTAAAAGTAAAACATCAGAATCATTCTTGGATCTAGAACTCTAGAGGCTTACAGTGTGTGTTTTTTGTCTTTCTATCTTGGAGATCGTTTTAGAAAATGTCTTATCTGATTTTTCAATAATCGTGCTGACCAGGGCACATTTTCAAATACTATATTTGGACTCGAAAAAAAATAAAGAAAGCATTTCATGTAGTAGTTTTACGTATTTAAGAATTCAAATCCTGGTGATGATGATTTGGGGGAGATGTATTTTTGCCCTATGTGCCCATTAAAATAAGAGCTCATTAACACATGACACTTAATTTGATTGGCAGCTGTCTTGGAGGTGGGCTGTATACAGGTGTTGGATAGACTGACTGTGTTGTTAACTGTGTTGTGAAAGTTAGAGAGGAAGTAAAGTATGAGAAACGAGGTCCTGTAACTATTTAGTGCAGGTTGAGGGGAAGATTTGCTGCTCCCTCACTGATGCTCACATTTTCACTTGCTTGAAGGCTCATCCTGGAGGTGTGCAAACATGTACACTCCCTCCTGGGGCATGCAGCCAACTCGCTTGGTTTTGATGAACTGACAAAAAGGAATGTGTCCTTTGGATTTGTGGAGATTGAAGAAAAAAAATAATACATAAATGCTTTCTGCATTGCCCTATATAGGTCAGGATAATCATAAAGTTCCAAGGAACTCTTGGAGACCATGTTTCAGATACACCTTGATTCTCATGCTGTTGTTTCGAAGATCTCTATTGTCAGAGTCTTTTAGTATTGTACCTGGTGCAACTTGTCTGAATTTTCCGCTACCTGCGTATGAGCATCATCTACTGTTACCATCTGTTGGTTCTTTCTTTAAAAAGAGTCACATCAGGATGCTTTTGTGTTTTCCCTTTTTCAAAATTCATATCTTTCTTTGTCAAGAGTAGGTTAATTCTGCCATTTTTGCAGGGCAATTGATTTAGAGAAAGCAGGTTTAAAAAAGATAAGTCTGTATTCAATCAGAGAGAACTGCATATCTCACATCGTGACTTTTTGTTTCTCCTCTAAGTACGCGGAATTCCACTAATGTCTGTTTTATAAATCAGGTAAAGGAGTATAAAGAAAAGCATGGAAGGAAAATCAGAAAAGAAAAATGTCATGTTTGCAAGAGAATGAGCAACAAAACCACCTCCCCCTCTTTCTTTTTCTCTCACCCCACTTCTAAATGACTGGGAGAAAAACATGAGAAAGAACAGAGAGAGTGCCAAAGATGGTTGCCACTGGCACCAGGATTGGCATCAGACTCTCTTTGTTTAGCTCAGGATGCCTGTGATTTGTTGGTTGGCATCCGCATTGCAGTGTGGAACGATGTTATAATATATTGACAATTTCCAGATCTAGAAATGTCAATAGTCCTCTTGGTTATTTATACAAGATCACATACTGCATCTCTTCAGGAGGATGAAATAAAGACCGACATAATAAAGTTCCATTATTGCCCAACTTCTTTGCCTTTTTCCCTCTTTCTCTTTTGGTTCAACCCACAGTTCCCCACCCCCTCCCTTGTTCATGCCCAGCTGCCTCATCTTTTCTGAAATGTGGAGAGTTATTAGCGCTTTGACACAAACTATAGTGTTACATCTGTATCTGATATCGTTTTGGGGGAAATGTATGCATTTCGAAATCATTTTTGATACAGAGTTCATTAGACTTTCGCATCACATGTCCGCAAAGCCGTATTTTCTTTAAAGCTAAGTCTCTTTGTTTTTCAGCTGCTTCTGTGCATATAGCTGGGTTGACCGCATTTTATTCCATTTCACTATTTCTTTATATTAGCAAAGGGTCATGTTCGGTGCAGTTGTTTATAAAATTATGTCCCTCTGTACCTAAAATGTATACTTCATTTGGAAGTAGCTGCGTTTAAATCCATAAACTCATTTGACGTTATTGATTCACAGGGCTGCGCTTCTGCTGTTTCGTTGCTACAAGAACCGCCATTTTGTTTGTGAAGTGCCAGGCGAGGGGGAAAAAAAAGGCAGACACTGTGTTTGATGCCAATAATGGTTGCCAGTGGCACCGAGGTTGGCATCAGACCCTCTTTGTCTAGTTGCTGAATGCCTTTGATTCGTTGGTTGGTACCCGCATTGCAGTGGGCACACTGGAAAGTTTTTGACAATCCCTGAATGAAGGCTGCTTGCTTGTTTGCGGCAGCAAACCTTAGCTCATATAAAACCCTTCCTTTCTTTTTTAGGGTTTTATTAATTAATTTATTTTTAAGACGGTGACAGATTAAAGGGGGAAAAAAATAGCTGTAAAGTGACTTCCATTTTCCCAAAGATATTAAAGATGTCCAATGATTCCTGGGCAGGTGGTATCTATTCCCCATATTGTCTTTGTTACAGTGTTCCTGAAAGCAAAGCAAAATAAAACAAAACAAGAAACAGGCAAGCCTGGCAGGACACACATCACTGGGTGGCAGGTTGTACTAAAGGAAGCAGGGTGCACCTTGCAAGGTGTGTGAAAGACTAGCTCCATGGAGTACTATAGAAGGCATTCATTATGACTGTTGCTTTCAGCAACATCAGTATTACGGCTTCTTTCTTAAACCATGCCCAGTTCGCTCCGTCTCCACTCTTGCACCTTTTCCGGTTGCATATTGAGGACTTTACTTTTATCTCTAGTGAACAAGATGTATCAGTTCAAATGTTAAGAAAAGAAGACAGTTATAAGGAAAGCTGTGTGTTATGGTCTAATATCAATCAGTCATTTCTCAATTGCCCAATTCTGCTTTAAAATACTGCCAGAAAATCAGTGCACACTTTTGCCTGCCAGGAAAACCAACCAAAAGGCTAAAATAATTTTGGTTAAAGTTTCCTAGATAGTTAGCATTAATATTGCTTTCCGATTAACCACCATTATCTTGTTACCTAATAAGAAGGATTAGCAGTTTTACCCAAAGGGCTTCACAGACAGAGTTATGGCCTAAGGGAGGCCTTGAGTTGTCAGACTGTGTCCTGTCTGAGGGGAAAAGGCGGGTGTGTGTGTGTGTGTGTTGTGGACTGGGATTTCAATAGACAAGGCTTTGGTCGCAACACACTCAGAAGTTTAAAATTCTAAAGAGATAGGAGCTGTTATGGTGAATTGAACAGGTGAGAGTTTGACCGAAATCAGCCTAACTGATTTTTGGACTGTACTTTGCACCCTTATTATAACATGATTTGCACTGCTGAAGAGAGTCCAGAAACTTCATTACCATGGTGAAAGAGTTTTCTTTTAACCTGGTGGAACCCTACAAATAGTGATCCATTTTTGCCTGGCAACTTTTATTGCTTTATTGTGAATTGTTCCCACCATTAAAATATATTTTGAAGTTGTGAACGATGTGCCTTGTTTACAGGGGAAGTTGTAATCATTATTACTGGTTTTGAAATAGAATCCTTCCTGCTTGTCACATATCATTAGTAAGGAAGCAAATGCTAGGAATGATTTTCCTCTTTCAGTGAGTGACTTTTTGAATCCTTTTTTGGGGGAACAATGATTTCTTTATGGAAAGTGTAAGTAGATAATGTTTGTAAGTCGACAGAGAGGGTATGTTTACATTTTAATAGATTTCACTTCATTTGTAGGTATTTTCTACAATGAGGAAAAAGGAGTGGGCATCATGTGTTGAGAGGGGGCTGCGATCAAGGATGCTTGGTGTGCTGGCTTGTGCAAAGCTCAGAGAGCAGAAAGTTGGTGTGTACAAGTACTTTGTACACTTGTTTGATTTAGGGGAGCATTGCTAAGTGTTCCCATCTTGCAT